AACTACCATTACAAGTGGGAAATACTATCTTAAATTGGTTCTTAAGGAAAAATTTGTATAATTTGAGAGAAGGCCTCAGAAATTTTGAGAAATTCCAAAATGGGTCTGTAGATTTCATTTTAGTACACAAATGAATCAACCCCTATTCTCATTGGCTTCAAGGTGTTTTTTATTTTTTTTTTATTTAGGGTTGTGTGTGTGTGTGTGTGTGTGTGTGTATGTACGTGTGTGTACTTGTGCTCACTGCAATCTCTGCCTCCTGGGTTCAAGCGATTCTCCTGCCTCAACCTCCCGAGTAGCTGGGATCACAGGCACCTGCCACCATGCCTGGCTAGTTTTTTGTAGTTTTACAAGAGATGGGGTTTCACCATGTTAACCAGGATTGTCTCGATCTCCTTACCTTGTGATTCGTCCACTCGGCCTCCCAAAGTGCTGGAATTACAGGTGTGAGCCACCGTACCTGGCCGATTTTAGTTGTTGTTGTTGTTGTTTTAATCAGCTAGGAAGTCTTAAAATAGAATGGAGAAAATAAAAGACTTACGTTACCTGGTAAGTATAAGAAAAAGCATAGCTACATTGGAGACTGGAAGGAATAAGGGAATCTGGAAAGAACAGGCTGGATTTTTTAATGTTTTAATTTTCATGAAGTAGTTGTTACAATGCTTTTCCAAATAAATAATAAAATAAAGTCAACTTACAGGTTGATACTTAAAAAGATCTGTGTGTAGACCAGGTGTGGTGGCTCAAGTGCATTTCTGTGTATAGACCAGCACTTTGAGAGGTCAAGGTGGGCGGATCACCTGAGGTCAGGAGTTTGAGATCAGCCTGGCAAACATGGTAAAACCCTGTCTCTGCTAAAAATACAAAAAACTAGCTGGGCATGGTTATGCACACCTATAGTTCCAGCTACCTGGGAGGCTGAGGCAGGAGAATTCCTTGAACCCAGGAGGCAGAGTACAGTGAGCCAAGATCGTGCCATTGGACTCTAACCTGGATGACAAGAGTGAAACTCCAGCTCAAAAAAAAATGAAACAGGAACAGGCCAGATGTTGGGGAAAATTTTCCGTTTATGAGTCTTAAATCAGAAAATTGGTGAAATGCCCTTTGAATGCTGAGTCAGTCCTTATGACTAGTTTTAGGTTTTGTCTGTTTATGAGTTTCTAAGATCCTTGCTGGATTTTTGAGTTTTGAAAAATTTTTCTTAGTCCAGGAGTACTTCAGTAGTACTTTCACACTGATAATAACTTTTATTTAAAATTTTAAATTTTCCTAACTATTGTAAGTAGATTTGGGTTCAGCTAAGTAAATCAATGAATTGGACTAGTGTGTAATGAAACCATAAGACATAGATCCCAACTTCAGAATGCTTCCCATTTGGTTGAGGAAACAGGTCACATGTATCATGTTAAGTAACGGAGATGAAAAGTTTGCCATTAACTTTCTTTAGTAATTTCTTCTTTTGTTAGTGAAATTTAAAATATATTTCCCTGAAGTAATCTTTGGAATTCAACCTATTTTTTTTTTTTTTTTTTTTTTTGGTGGGGGGAGGAAGGCAGGAAGGGAGGGAAGAAGGACGGTAGGGAGGAAGGAAGGGATGAAGGAAGGAAGGAAGGAAGGGAGGAAGCGGGGAGGGAGGGAAGAAGGACGGTAGGGAGGAAGGAAGGGATGAAGGAAGGAAGGAAGGGAGGAAGCGGGGAGGGAGGGAAGAAGGACGGTAGGGAGGAAGGAAGGGATGAAGGAAGGAAGGAAGGGAGGAAGCGGGGAGGGAGGGAGGGAGGGAAGGGAAGGAAGGAAATCAAGCAGTGAGAGACATTGCTGACCTGGATCTAGAGGTTTACAAGTTGATTTCTTTTTTTTTGAGAGAAGGAAAGAAAAAACAAAATAAGTAAAGGAGAGGAAGAAAGAGGAAGAGAAAGAGGGAGAGTAAATGGAAATATGCTTTATTTTGAAAAAAATTGAGTATTAATAATGGCCAATCAATGTTTCATTTAAACTTATGGGTAGGTGTGATGTGGTATTGACAAGAATGTATATTTTGTGTATTTGAAGTGGAGAGCTCTATAAATATTTATTAAGTTTACTTGTTCCGGATCTGAGTTCGAGTCCTTGATATCCTTATTAACTTTCTGTCTCATTGAATCTAAGTCTCGTATCTGGGTGTTAGGATCGTTAGCTCTTGTTGTTGCATTGATCCTTTTACCACTATATCTTTGTTGCTTTAAAATCTATTTTCTCCGATACGAGAATTGCAGCTCCTGCTTTTTATTTATTTTTGCTCTCCATTTGGTTGGTAAATCTTTCTCCATCCCTTTGTTTTGAGTCTTTGTGTATCCTTGCATGTGAAACAGGTCTGGATGTAACATGCCGTTGGGTTTTGGCTGTGTCTTTTGATTGGGGGATTTAGTCAATTTAAATTTAGGGTTACTGCCATTTGATGTTGACCGGCTGTTTTATCCATTTGTTGGTGTAAATTCTTCTTTATGTTGGTGCTCTTTACTTTTTGTTGTATTTTTAGAAAGGCTAATACTGGTTGTTTCTTTCTGTGTGTAATGCTTCTTTCAGAAGCTCTTGTAAAGCAGGCCTGGTGGTAATAAAATCTCTGAGTTCTTGCTTGTTCATAAAAGATTTTATTTTTCCTTCAGTTGTGAAGCTTAGTTTGGCTGGATATGAAATTCTGGGCTGAAGGTTCTGTTCTTCGAGAATGTTGAATATTGGCCCCCACTCTCTTCTGGATTGTAGAGTTTCTGCTGAGAGATCTGCTGTAAGTCTGATAAGCTTGTCTTTGTGGGTAACATGACCTTTCTCTCGGGCTGCCCTTAGTATTTTCTCCTTCGTTTCAACCCTGGTGAATCTAACGATTATGTGCCTTGGGGTTGCTCTTCTTGAGGAATATCTTTGTGGTGTTCTCTGTATTACCTGGGGTTGAATGTTGACCTGCTTTGCTAGTTTAGGAAAATTTTCCTGAATAATATCCTGAAGGGTATTTTCCAGCTTGGATTCATTCTCTCCGTCGCATTCAGGTACACCTATCAAACGTAAATTTGGTCTTTTCACATAGTCCCATATTTCTTGGAGACTTTACTTATTCCTTTTTATCCTTTTTTCTCTAATCTTTTCTTCACGTTTTATTTCATTAAGTTGGACTGTGACCTCCAATATCCCTTCTTCTGCTTGAACAATTCGAGTGTTTAAACCTGTGCATACTTTTCGGAGTTCCTGTATTGTATTCTTTAGTTCCATTATTTCACTCATACTCCGCTCTAAGTTGTCTATTCTCAATAGGATTTCATCAAACCTTTTTTCAAAGTTCCTAGTTTCTTTACATTGGGCTACAACATGGTCTTTTAACTCACTGAAGTTTCTTATTATCCATTCCTTGAAGAGTGATTCTGTCATTGGGATGCGCTTGTTCTCCATCAAGCCTTGTTCCATTGTTGATGTGGAACTGTGATCATCTTTAGAGGGAGAGGCGTTCTGATTTTGAGTATTCTCAGCTTTTTTACGCTGGGTTCTTCCTGTCATTGTAAGTTTATCCTCCTGTCTCTTTGAAATTACCAACTTTCAGATTAGGTCTCTTGAGTGGGCGTCCCGGTTGTTAGTTCTCAGGGCCAGAGCAGCGGCGTTATAACTGATGGTGCTTTTCTGCCCAGGATTCTCCTGTCTGGCTTCCTTCTTGTGTCTGTAGTAGGTGACTCTGCCTTCCCGGGGCTCCAAACCTCAGTCAGAAGGGAAACCGGTCCTGTTTACTCTGCGCCGAGCACTCTTGCGCGGAAGTGCCGTCACAGCGGCTGCGCCGGGCTCTGGTGTCGTGCTGGGGGCCGGTGCCAGTCCTCCGAACCTGTTTACTTTGCTCCGAGAGCTGCCCCGCGGAGGTGCTGGCGGAACCGCTGCACCGGCCACGAGGGTCGCGCTGGCCACCCATGTGTTTCCTCCACTGGGGGATCTCCTGCTCCGTGAGCGACCAGAATTTGTCTGAAAGTGTGGCGTCCTCTAGTTCTCCGCAATTCAACCTATTTTTAGTGATAATATGTGTGCCAGATTTAATGCTATGTCTCCCCCCCAATTCCCCGTCACCTCAGCCTTCCATCCATGGGTTGAAAGTGCCCTGCAGGAAGATTTGGAAGTCCCAGGCAAACATAATAAGGGGTAGGGAGAGAACTTATTTAGATAGATGCTGGTTAAAGTCTCAAAACTCCAGATTTCTAGAACAAACAGGTTATATGTAAGGAGGAGTCAGAGATATATTAGACATAAGATACTACTGTAACACTAGAGGCAAGAAGACATTGGAACATTATCTATAAACTATCGAGCAGAAATGACTGCAGACCAAAAATCCTATGCATAGTCAAATAATAAATGTCAAGGGGAAAAATTTTGTTTTGGAAATGCAAGGAGTACCAACTATAGACCTCAAATGCTGAAGAATATGCTTGAGGTATTCTCCCAGATTAAAGTCAAAGCATAGCATCATTCTAAAGACAAAAGAAGCAAATGAGAGTCAGAAACAGGTGCAGTTTGATAGTAAACTTGTTCGGTCTTGCAAGCACTTACACCTACATGGATGGAGCTAATCACAGTTTCTGTTCTGCTTTTGTGTCTCTTTCCAACTCACCCCAGTCTAACCCCATCCGCATCTCCTATACACTGCTTAGTTGTCATTTCAGTGGACTTTCAGGAAGGAGGGAAGGTAAAAGCATGGGATGAAACTACCGTCTTGATTTGGAAAATCTATTTTTAAAATGCTTTGCTTCTTACCACAAAAGGTTGCTGTGACGAGTTACTGGTTAGAGCTCATACTACAAGCAACGGAAACAAGCAATGGAGGATTTAAACAAAAAAATCTATGGAAAAGATTCTGGGTGATTCCTGGGCTCTTGGGGAAGGCTGGAGAACATGGCTTGATTGGTTGGGAATTGGACAAAATTTACTTCGCAGTGATAGCACTGTATCTTCATTTAGAAATAAATTGCCTTTTTCTTTTTTTTTTTCAAATATAGGTTATATATTTGGGGAGAACTCCAGAAGAAGCATATAGAATATTAATCTTTGGAGACACATCCTATATTCCTTTCAGGTAAATATAAGAATGATGTGGTAGAGTCAGGTAATCACATTCTTGCCAGAAATATCCTTATAGTTGTTTCTGAAAAAAGAAGATCTGGTAATTAGTCATTTTAGGGTGAGCGCAAATAACACCACAGATCTGGGTTTTCCAGCAGTGACTCTACTGACCTTTTGTGATGGGGATTATCTTGTGCATTTGTAGGACATTTAGTGGCATCTTTGACTTCTGCCCACTAGATGCTGGTAAAATCCTCACACCTACTCTAGTTGTCAGAACTCAGAATGTCTCCAGACATTGTCATATGTACCTTTAAGTGCCCCTGGGGAATGGAGAGCAAAATCTACCCATGTTGAGAACCACTACCGTTGATGAAAACTGGGTATTGGCAGGGCACAATGGCTCATGCCTGTAATTCCAGCATGCTGGGAGGCCAATGTGGGATGACTGTATGAGCCCAGGAATTCCAGACCAGCCTCAGCAACAAAGCCAGAACCCATCCCTACAAAAAAAAAAATTAGCCAGGTGTGGTTTTGCATGCCTGTAGTCCCAGATATTTGGGAGGCTGAGGCTGGAGGATTGTTTGAGCCTAGGAGTTTGAGAGTGCAGCAAGTGAGCTATGGTCATACCACAGCACTCAAGCCTGGGCAATAGATAACTTCTCTCAAAAAAAAAAAAAAAAAAAAAACCCAGAGTTTCAGACCAGCCTGACCAACATGGTGAAACCCTGTCTCTACTAAAAACGCAAAAATTAGCTGAGTATGGTGGTGCACACCTGTAATCTCACCTACTCAGGAAGCTGAGGTAGGAGAATCACTGGAACCTGGGAGGCAGAGGTTACAGTGAGCTGAGATCATGCCACTGCACTCCAGTCTGGGCAACAGAGCGAGACTTTGTCTCAAAAAAAAAAAAAAAAAAAAACAAAAAAAAAAAACCAAAACCTAGGCTTTGTAATCAGGTGAGAATTCTGGGTTATGGTACTCAAAACTACCGCTGAGGAGTGTGGTTCCTGAGAAGTTAAGAAGCTTTTCCAATAATCATTAGTTACTTTCTGGGACCAAAATGTACCCCTTTTTTTCTGGGGGCACAGTCAGTAGAGACAGTGGGTGAGGTTGCTAATGCAGCACCACTCCCAGCAAAACCTGTCAAGTCACTGTGTCCCAGAAGTGGTAGATAATGAAGTCTACGGGAATGGATGGCATCCTCATCTCAAACTTAGAATCTGATTGTGTTGAAGACACTTCGAGAAAACTGTGCTTAAATTAAATTAAGTTCTAAAAATTTTTCTACTTGTTAATCAAAATACTTGACTTTGTTGTATAATTTAAATATTTGTATGGTGCTAATGGGTAATAAATATGTGAAATAATTTTACTAATTAAAGATTTTGGTATCTTCAAAAATGGCTTGTTCTTTCATTCACAAATTAATTGCTTATACAATGAACTGATAACTATTGCTTATTAGTTCATTGTTCAAACTAGTTTATTAGGAGTGTTACACATGCCACAAATGCCTGATTTTGAATGTAACACCCTGCCTTTAAAAAAGGAAGTTTGTGAATCTGACTTCATTGTAGATGAGCTTTCAGATGGGTATTTCTAATTATTGGCAGAATCTCCTTTTGAAATCACTTTATAGCACCGCCTATGGACTTACTCCATGAAATAACAATTTGTCGGGACAGTCTGAAGACTTCAGTAATACAATGCATGAAAGATGGTAAAGATCTGTGATTTAGCAAATTAGAATTGGCTAGTGTCAGGCACAGTGGCTCATGCCTGTAATCCTAGCACTTTGGGAGGTCAAGGTGGGAGGATGACCTGAGGTCAGGAGTTTGAAACCAGCCTGGCCAACATGGCAAAACCCCAGCTCTACTAAAAATATAAAAATTAGCCGGGCTTGGTGGCACATTCCTATAATCCTAGCTACTTGGGAGAATGAGGCAGGAGAATTGTTTGAACCCAGGAGGCAGAGGTTGCAGTGAGCCAACATCACACCACTGCACTCCAGTCTGGGTGACAGAGTGAGAATCTGTCTCAAAAAAAAAAAAAAAGAATCGGCTTGAACCCAGTATTATCCCTTTCTTGCTAGCTCATGGCTCATCTTAAGTATTCTTTTATTTGAGGTGGGTAAGAAGGGAAGAGGGGGAGATAAAGGTCATTTTCTAAGCTGGAAAGTCATTCTTCTTAACCTATAACATAGCAGCAACCACATTCTTCCTCTAAAAGAAATGCTTGTATTTTTGGTCTTGAGTCACAGGCACCTTGATCATCTCCTGTAGTGACATTTGTTCTATAGAACTCTTCTTTATAATGATAATTCTTTGTGATGCCACTTTCAACATTTACAGCACAAGATCCTGAAATAGGAATATGCTCACACATTTCACATAGTGCAAGGAAGGATCCATGGAACACTGTTGATGTGGGAAAAAAAAAGAGGTTTTGAGTTGATTTAAATACAGGTGCCAAAAACGAAATAAGCATTGCTTATTGCCTTGCTGTGTTTCAAACTATTAAAGTTTGGCACTGAGAAATGAAGTTAGTTCCTTGACGTCCCAGGAGCATCAGTAATTCTCCGAAAGACAGGACGTAGCTAGAAACCATTCAGGTTTGTGAAATTGGAATCTCTTCAGTCATAGATACTGGCTATTCAATTTATCTAAACAGTGTTTCTTAAAGTGTTGCCTGTGAACTGGTGCCAGTCTGTGACGTTTTATTATCAGCCAGAGATGGGATAAATACAGAAGTTGAGAGTAAGATTTTAGAAACATTTATAGTTATTGAATAGAGTGATTTTATGTCTGTAGAATCAAATAATAGAAATTTTAGCTTCTGTTTTGTCCCCCCCCTTTTATTTTTCTAGTAATTTGTTTTATTTATAAAAAAATAAGACTATCTTGCATTACCTGCATTATTGCAGGTATGTAATAGTACAGTACTATTGCATTTCATATTTATTATATTTTATAAAAGTGTCGACCTATGATGGACTCAAAATTTTTAAATTTAGTGCTTCTTCACATAGTGTTCTGTAGAACTTACCAATTAGAAAGTAGTCTAATCAGAATTAATAAAGCCTGTTAATATGTTGATAGAAATGACACTATATTCTTTGTATTGTGCTGCTTTAATTACATACAATAAATATAACCTACAAAGTACTGCTAACAAGACATTGCACAAGGATGGGATTCATTTATAGTAAATAACTTCTTTTATATTCCATAGCAATTTTTATTTAATTAGATTTAATTCAACTTAAATAGAATTTTTTTTTTTTTTTTTGAGACAGAGTCTTGCTCTGTCTGTCGCCCAGGCTGGAGTTCAGTGGCACCATCTCGGCTCACTGCCACCTCTGCCTCCCAGGTTCAAACAATTTTCATGCCTCAGCCTCTCGAGCAGCTGGAATTAGAGGCATTTGCCACTATGCCCAGCTAATTTTTGTATTTTTTGAAGAGACAGGGTTTCATTATGTTGCCCAGTCTAGTTTCAAATTCCTGGCCTCAAATGATTGGCCCACCTGGGCCTCCCAAACTGCTGGGATTATAGGCATGAGCCACTGTGCTTGGCCTTCTTTAACTACTGAGTTTTAAAGTGTGTGTGTATATGATTTCTCATTGAATTATATTAAATATTTCTCTGTGTCTGGTCTGCATGAGAAAATAGTATAAAATGTAGTTTAATCTTTTGTTTTAAATATCATAGGATCATTGTTATGAACAGCATGTATTCCTTTTCTCTGATATTATCTGTTTACAATACTCTCTGCTTCTTAGTTGTTTTTGTGTGGGGGTGGGTTGCCTCTGCCTCCTGTTTTCTTGAGAGGTAGTATTGTGTATTTGTTAATGGCTTGACTTGGCATCAGACAGATGGGAGTTTTGCTTTCATCACTGCTACTGGTATCTCTGTGGTCTTTTACAAATTTAAGCCTTGGTCTTCTAGTCTGTAAATAGGAACAGTAATAAAATCTCCCTCAAGGGGTTGTGAGGATGAAGTGGCATCCTGCATATAAAACACTTGGTATAGGCTGGGCATAGTGGCTCTTGCCTGTAACTCCCAAGACTTAGGAAGGCTGAGGCGGGAAGATAGCTTGAGGCCAAGAGTTGGAAGACCAGCCTGGGCAGCAGAGCAAGAACTTTTCTCCTTGAGTAGGGGGGAATTGACTGGGCATGTGTCTGTACTCCTAGCTACTTGAGAGGCTAAGGCAAGAGGATCCTTCAAGCCTGGGAGGCTTCAGTGAGCTTTGATTACGCCACTGCACTCCAGCCTGCACAACAGAACAAGACCATGTCTCCTTTTTTTTTTTTTTTTTTTTGAGATAGATTCTCACATACTGCAACCTCCGCCTCCTGGTTTCAAGTGATTCTTCTGCCTCAGTCTCCTGAGTAGCTGGGATTACAGGTGCCTGCCACCACACCAGGCTAATTTTTTGTATTTTTAGTTAGAGACAAGGTTTTGCCATGTTGGCCAGACTGGTCTTGAACTCCTGACCTCAGATGAGCCACCACACCCAGCCAAGACTGTGTCTTTTAAAAAAAAACAAGCACTTGATATGTGCCCTTTAATATTTGTTAAATATTCCAACCCTCCCCCTTTTAAGTTGACTGGAATTTACATACATTTTAAAAATCGCTGTCTCGGTAAGGTGGTGGCTCACGCCTGTAATCCCAGCACTTTGGGAGGCCGAGGCAGGCGGATAACGAGGTCAGGAGTTCCAGAGCAGCCTGACCAATGTGGTGAAACCCTGTCTCTACTAAAAATAGAAAAATTAGCAGGACATGGTAGTACATGCCTGTAATCCCAGCACTTTGGGAGGCCGAGGCAGGCGGATCACGAGGTCAGGAGTTCTAGAGCAGCCTGGCCAATGTGGTGAAACCCTGTCTCTACTAAAAATAGAAAAATTAGCAGGACATGGTAGTACACGCCTGTAATCCCAGCTGCTTGGGAGGCTGAGGCACGAGAATTGCTTGAACCCGGGAGGCCAGGGTTGCAGTGAGCTGAGATTAA